ACCACTTCTATATTGCAGTGCTTCTCAAATGGGGGTCGCGAAGGCATCTATAGGGGTCCGCGAAGCCATGTCTTATCAGCCAAGCACGACAATATTAGTTGTCTTTCTTCACGTCGTTAAGAAACGTTCCAATTTTTGGGTGAGTACTCTCGTGCGTGTGTCAATGAGATAAGTCTACTTCACACTAGCAATTAGTTATATTCATTTATTAAATCATTATCATGATAGCCTATACCTTTCTATTCCCCTCACCCCGAGCGGGGTCCTCCATCATCTCCGCCTTTCTACAAGGGGTCCGCGAAACATCAATGGTTGAGAACCGCTGCCTATTATGTATGCTATTTCTATTCAAACAAAGTTTCCAAATTAAATGTTCATCGCTTTTTTTTTTGTTTGATTAGAGGAAGGGAAGGACGCGTCATTGTACGATTCTCAGTGCGCACCTCTACACATAACATATACCTAATGGTATGTTGGGGGCCCAAGCAAGGTAAGGCTCATCAACAAAGCCGCGAAGGCATAACAACGTTAGAAGCATGCCGAAGTAATGCCATTCGGTCGTAGGGCGAACGGGCAAAATGAGAATGGGCCCAGTTGCGAAAAACACGATTCGGATCTTATGAGAAGATTCAAACGAGAAGGACCAAATGAGAATAGGACGAAATGTGCAAGGTTTAAATGCGAATGGGACGTTTTGAAATACACCCGCTCTAAACAGCCCTGAATTCATTTGGAGAGCCCTGCCTTTTGTTCTTTTAATGACGAGGGCACTTCGTAACATTTACGGATTGCGAAGAAAATTGTACCATGATGTAGCTGGAGAACTGGAGCTTATATAACCGCTGAGAGCAACTCGAGATACGGAGTGGTTAGTTTGTAAATCGAGTTTTAACACAAATATTTATCTGGAAATCACCGTACTCCCATACGTATAATGCATTTTTTTTTCGATTGCCAGTTGGCTCTATTTATCTTAGACATACAGTCCTTAAATTTAGCACAATGAACAAAAAAGGTATCTATTAAAAAAGTGCGCTGAGAGCAATATAATGCGCCGCTTAGAATTTATTGAAATAAAAAATATCTAGTTCGTCCCATTGAGTTACGGGCCGTCCCGCCACCGCTGCCGATAGATGGCGCAAGTACTGTCGGCGTGCTCCTGTCCCGGAATCCTATTTCCTAAAGCATATTTGTATTAAAATCGCAGCCAATTAGCAAGGAATACCGATGAATTGATGCGAAATCTAATATTTCTTCAATAAAATCAAGAAAAACGTTCCGATTACCAGAGGGGGGGGGGGGGGGGGGGGATACACAACCGCAAACATTTCACTGTTACTTAGCAAACAAAGTGCTTCACTTTGTTTGTGATTGTCGTTTATCACAACACTTCTGTTGTGATAAACGTGAATTTTTCGAGCACATCGCATGACAATTGCTGTTTAACATGCACCGGTACGCCAACGCCTTGCATTCCACTTCGGTTTATAGAATAATTATTGTATTCATCCAAGACTAACATATCGCTATCTGTGTGATACCATGTTTCAGAAAACATAACAGTGTCAAATCGGAAGTTGAACTCGTCAAGAAAAGTAGAAACTAGATCCTGCTTAGGCGCTTGAGATCGCGCGTTGACACGAACAAAAGAAAGAAAATCATTTGACTGTTCTCGTACCGCAATATCCGATGGTAATTCGTACTCTTGATAAAGCATATTAGGGGAAAGATATAGTAATTTAGCAAAGTTTACGCTTACACAATTTTGCACAAGTCACTTTCAGATACGATGTGTACTACCGGACTTTGCTCTGTTTGGCGTGCAAAGATTTTACCGTTCCGCGTCCACAGAAATCGCCACTGGCACTCACGTTGCTTGGCAATCGCAAGAGAAAGAAGCCGTTTCAGCGCGGGACATAAGTGTTCATTCAGATAAACTTGTGTTTCGTTCGCCATTCTGACTTCACGGTTCCTGATGCGACGCTTAGAGCTTTCGCAAGAACGGTGTCTCTTTTCTGCCTGCTTCTGAACTGCACGATGACGTTGCTCTTGCCCTCCTGTCACGTTGGTACGCGATGACAAGCCTCAACATCGTCGGCGGCAATGAGTTCACCAATCACGTCACCTATCTTACCTACGAGTTCAGTGACGTTTTCATTTTCATTCTGCGCAAGCCCTATTATTTCTATGTTAGACTTGCGCGAGTACTGCTCACATTGAACAACCTTCATCTGAAGTTACTCAATAAGACTCTCGTTCTCTTTGCACCTCTCGCGCAAGCCCTCGCTTTCCTTCTTCAGAGCGTCCCTTTCGCCAAGTGCCTCATCAAGCTTTTTCTTCATATCTTCAAATTCCGCGTTTATAAAATTCATGCTCTCTTGTAGCCCCCTCATTTCAGTCCGGAGCTCGCGAAGCCCACTACGATCATCTCTCCCTGACGTAGACGCCGCGGATTTAGTCATCGCACTTCGCAATCAAAAACAGCAATTAAACTCAACAGCAGCGACAGCAGTAACAATTTGCAATAACGGTGGAAAAAATCAGCACACCAACCTGCGGAGTGAACAACACTTGTTTAGGCGAAGCGTCAGCTGGCTGTCGCTGCTGCTGAATGATGAATGCATTTAAACAGCACCCTTTTATTTTATTTTTTTCCACGAGAGGGATTGGGTGTGTTGGCGTCACACACTCAGCTTAAAACAAAAACAATCAAAGCTGCTTTTCTCTTTGTGTGTGTGTGTGTGTGTGTGTGTGTGTGTTTGTGGGGGGGGGGGGGTGATATGGGCTGTAGTAAATCAGCTCTGGACAACAGTTAAATTCTTTTTTTTTTTTCGAAATGATTAAGCGCGGGTCTTTTAGGATTCGTGGGCCACTTCAGTATGCTTTGTTTCCTTGGTACATTTTTTGTTTTGTACATCAGAGATTAGGTTTCGGTATGAAAAATGACCTTATCCGGCCTATTGTGAAAATGTATTTAAACAGCGTCCTTTTTTTATTTTATTTTGTTTTCCACGAGAGGGATGAGTAGGTTGGCGTCACACACTCGGCCAAAAACTAAAATAATTAAATTTTTTTTCTTTATTTTTTTTTACGGTTTAGTTAAGCGCGAGATTCTAAGGATTATGCTACCGTAATAAAACAATTGAATGGAAAGTAACGTGGGAAGTTATCGACTACTTTAGAGTAATTTTTCGATTACTTTTTCGAGGCTGTAATTGTAACTGTAATCGGTTACTTTTTACAGTGACGTATTTATAATTGTAATCGGTTACTTTTTTTCAGTAACGTGTACAAATCTGAACATAACTGATGAAATCTTGGAGAGGCAGGTACTGCTTACATGCAACGACCACTTAAATGAAAAAGAAACGTGCAATTAAAAAACAAGTTGTATATTTGGCATTCAAAGTAACAAGAAAAGTAACTCGTTACTTTTGAGGTAACTCACGCGTTCCTTTGGAAAATTGGTTACGAGTAACGTGATTAGTCACTTTTCTGAGCATGTAACAAGTAGCGGTATTTTGTTACTTTTTTTCGGTAACGTGTACATGTCTGGTTAGAGGAAATGAAACGTACTGATCTGTTTTGTATGGCTTCAAGTGGTGCACTTAGTGAAATTTGACCAGGGTCCAAAATAGACGATGCATACTCTAGCTTTGGTCGTACGAGTGTTTTGTACAGCATCACCTTTAATGATTGGGGTGCCAATGAGACGTATCTCTTCATGTATCCAAGCATGCGATTTGCATTGTTAGTTACGTTATCTATGTGATGTGTCCATGTTAGATCAGGCGTGAATGTACACCAAGGTACTTATACTCCAAGACCGACTGTAATGCGTTTCTTTTAATATTAAAATCTGCAGTTACTGCTGTACATCTGGATATGGGCATAGATTTACACTTAGTTAAGTTGAATAACATTGACCATGATTCACAGCAAAGTGACACTGCATTAATATCATTTTGTAACTATCTTGATTCAAGGTTATTGGTTACTTCGCTGTATAGGACGCAGTCATCAGCGGATAGTGAAATATTTAATGAAATATGAGATGGTAAGTCATTGATATGGATTAAAAATAGCAAAGGTCCTAAGACTGAACCCTGAGCCAGGGCCGGTCCTAGGATTGGGCGCCCTGAGCGGTCGTTCAGGGCGCCATCAAAAAGAGAGCGCCACCGCGTAAATGTTTTTTTTTTGTGCTTTTTCATATATTTGTACACTGCGCCCGACACTATGGCTCTTGTCTCACATAGCGCTCGCTTTGGGTCACTACTTGCATGTTTACTAACAACGGGGTGTCGCACCTAGTAGATAGGGCGTATTTTTGTGCGTGTGTGTAAGTTTGTGTCAGTGTTTCACCGAGACCTATAGCTGATTATGCGAGCGTTAAGGCTTTTGGAGAGGTTCCGTCGGCGTCGCAAAGTTTTGGAAAAGTAATTGTAATTTTTTTATGAAATTTTGCAATTACTGACGCTAGAAAGCAATTAAATTAAAATTCCTTTCACCCAAAAGTAAGAAATAACAATTAAAAATTACAAAGAAAAGTAATTATACCACAGTATTTCAATTACAAAAATTGAATTACTAATCAAGTATGGCTTTTCTACGTCTGCTTAGCCGCTGACCGCTAGAGCGGAAGCCAAGTCCGGTGGTCCGGTTGCGTGAATCGAGCGGTGCACAGACTAAGATACCACTAGAATATTCTGACGCCAGGCATTAAGCTAGGCTAGATGGTACATGCATTAAAAAAAGCACACACCATTAAAGTAGACAAAGGGCTTAGAAACAGAGGACACACACATTGATGAAAATAAACCCTGGGGAAGGGGAACAAGAGGGACAAAGGACAAACACAAATCTTGTTCCCCTTCTCCAGGGTTTATTTTCATCATTCTTGTCCAGCTCGCTTGCACCTTTGCATTTAATTGCATTCTAATAATGACACACAGATTGCCTTGTGTCTCTAGTCTGTTTCTAAGTTGGCTTAAATTTATATTATGCAAATGTAAGTTTTCATTCTGTTCTCTTTATTACATAAAGCTTGCTGATATCACGGAACAAGAAAGTCATTCAGAAATAACGCGTCTCCCTCATATTGCCCTTGTATATTCCCGTTTTTGTTGATGCTCCGTTTTTTTCCCCCCAGGCCGTTCGACAAATCTAAACACGAGACGTCCGGTGAGGACAACGTCGACACCCGCAAATTCGAGTGCACACACCGGGGCTGCGAGTACCGCACCAACAAACGTAGCAACATGACCCGACACGTCAACGGGATGCACGGAGACCTACCCACACCGCGACTATGCTGCGGCCAGGAGTTCGGAAACATGTTCGCCATCAAAGAACACCGCAACCTGATGCACCGCAGGGGCGACAGCGGTCCTCCGATATACAAATGTAAGGAGTGCGCAAAGATCTTCGAAAGGCAGGGTCTTCTGGCGCGCCACATGTGCGTGCACACGGGCGAGAAGCCGTTCGAATGCGACGTCTGCAACTACGGAACGAGCCACAAAAGCAACTTGGAGCGCCACAAGGCTGCCAAACACGATAACGTGAGAGCGAAGCCAGATGGTCAGCCTTCGAATGACAAGAAGAGTTCCTTCAATGAAGACTCCGGCATCGGCACTGACTACAGCGCTCACTCCAGGCCTGCCTCCGCAGGGGGCGGGGACGACGTTGCAGATCAGCGTGGATGCACCGAGGCTGGGCCCAAACGCACACCACTGAGTGAGTAGTTTCTTCGTAAGAGACATTCCGCAAAGACTGCATGAGGCTTGTTTATTTCTTGCATGGACGCTCCTGGCGCATTGGTCATACAAAACCTGCTGGCAGACGTGTTTCAAGCAGGCGTGCGAATGAAGCAAACATGCTCCGAAAATGCTTGAGGCAATTCCGCACATGATTCTGTCATCATGTCTTTAGCGAACATTGGGTTTTGTATGACGTACGAGCAGTTTGTCTGCCTTCGACTTGATCAAGCATTTTTCTCACGTGTGCACGTTGAAACTATATCTTTTCATGGAGTTCAAAGAAAAGATCAAGATAAGAAAAAAAAGGCTATACATAGCTTCATTTTTTTTTCTGCCATAACGTGAGACAACGAATCACGGCGCAACGTGGGATCAACCCAGCAAGTGACGAAACCCAGAATACGAGTATACTAAAGCATTCCGATGTGCTAAGGGACAGTGGACATAATGTTTCACTTGCTCAATGATCCTTCGCACATAGCATTTTTTTAATTTAATCGTAATATCGATCGGATCATTCGCTTGAAACGTACTCGCCTTCGCCGTCATTGGCTGTCTTCGTGTTCTGCGAAAACGTAAACTAGAAGACATATTTTTTAGAGTGGATGCATCGCCCAGGATTTTAGAATATTTTCGGGTTTTTGTCGTGACCGCGCACCGGTCAAACGTTGACTCCTCGTATATTTGACGGACTTTCGAAGTTATTCACTTATCTTCAGCCACTTCCGTCTCAAAAAACACGTGTTTCTTCTCAACTGACATAAGAGTGCTTACTGAGTTGATTGATTTGAAGACCCAGCAAACAAGCGGCAGCTTCACAAGAAACTCAAGAGCTTTAATTCCCTGCGTCAGTTCTCATACTTAGGAAAAAAATTGGTAGAAAAAGAAGAACGAGCTCCACGCTCACCGTTCGCGAGCGCAAGCCCCGATCTCGTTTCCATGCTTGCCATCTTGCTGCTCTCTTCTTCGCTGGTACCCGACAAGTTTGGTCTATTCTCTTCACTATTTCGACCACGAAATGGGTCACGTGCCTACTTCCACTGGTTAAAGGGGTTGAACTGGTTGGTCGGTAAGAAATCAATTTCGCAGGTTTACCTGGCAAGATTGTATGTTGCAAACTGTTCTCTGTGAGTATTCAGCACTCTTCCCATTTGCCACAAGTGCCTCGGGGCATTACAATCATGCACAAAAACGACATCGTCTACACTGAGCTTTTGACGCATTTACTAGTTGCACATTGTGCAGATCCAAGCCGAAGCAAGTGTTCATGCTACCAGCGTTTCCAAAAGCTGTCCGTTAAGCGTTGTCGATACTTGATCCACTTGAGTAGCTTTGTTCATTTGGATTGGCGCTCCGTCTTTGTGTTGGGTCATGCAAACACGTCAATCTTTTTCCAATCAAGATATCTCTTGGGGTTATCGGGTTGGGCTCCGTGGCGTCTGTGGTGTCCATTGCGAGAGGTCGGGAGTTCATTATTCATTCAACTTCGGTCAAAACAGTGGATAATTTTTCAAAGGTTGGACATGCCCTCCCCAGCACTATCCGTAGGGTGGTCTTAACCGTTTGCATAAACCTCTCCCACCAGGCTTTCAACAATGGGGCACCGGAAGCAATGAACTTTCATGTTATTCAGCTGTTGGCAAGATGAGACTTAAAATCTTCTTGCATCGCCCTATACCGTGCCTGTGGATCGTTCGACGACTTCTTAAATGTTTGTGCGTTCACAAAATAAATCGTTGTTGGCAATCCTCTTCGTGCTGTGAGAAGCCGGAATGTCGCTTAAAAAGCTTCTGTAGGCATTGCAGAGACAAGTTCAAGGTGAACGGTGGGAGATATATTTCAGAAAAGTCACGTTCGACGTATGATTTCGCGCTACCCATTGCTGCCTTGACGAACAAGGGACCTGCAAAATCTACGCCTACAACATAAAAAGGCGCGCTTTGTGACAGTCGGTCAACAGGAAGTGGAGCAGTTGGGGCTGTGTCAGCAGTGAGGCGGAATCTCCTGCATAAACAGCAGCTGATCACTTTGCTTCTACTAATCCTCTCTCTAGTATAACTCTACTATAATCCGAAATTGGTCTCGGCGTTGCGCCAACGTGTCTCGTTCTCCTCAGTGAAGAACCTATGAGTGTGCGTTCTGTACAACCAGGGTTGTGAAGCAGTGCTCACTTGGCATTAAGGTTGGGTGTCGCACGTTGTCCGAAGCTAGCAGCATCTGAAGCCGGCCTCCAACCCGGAGGACATTATCTTAATACAAGAATAGACTCATCTCTGATAGAGACGATTTCTTTCGAACCTTTTCTTTATCCAAGAGGCTTTCTATCTTTTTTGGGTAAATACTGTTTGGAACGTTGTTGATCCAGTATAGTTTGGCCCCAGCTATCTCCTCGGCACTCAGTGATCCATCTGAAGGTTTGCCATTTCAACATTTCTTCAAAAATCATACACTACGCCGTCACTCTCAAATCCCGATGAAGTTCGCTGTATCTCGTCAGATCCAACAGTGGCTCAGGTGGTGTTCTTTGCTAGATCACGTGAACTGCTTTTCTCTATTCTTTTAACAAGTCCGCCTTTTCGTTCTTCGACCTCAAATCTGGCCATTCATTTTCCAGTTCAGTCAACCACGTTGGTCTTGACCACTGTACATCACTCGACACCAGTCGGGACTTTGCGATGCCACCGGTAAGCAAATCCGCTGGATTGTCACTCCCCGGACAGTACCTCCAACGAGAAGGATCAGTTTCCCTTTGTACCTTCGTAACTCGGTTGGTTACGAATGTCTTCCACATGCTGTGGTCGCTCTAAATCCACGTCAATGTGACGAGGGAATCCGTCCAGAGTGTATATTCGTACGGAATCTCTGGGATGGTATTCACCAGATATCGGTGCACTCTCGACGCCATGACGGCTCCTATAAGTTCCAGGCGAGAAAGCGTCTGCTTCTTGATTCGAGCGATCGGAGCCTTTACCAATAAAAGCGTAGGTCTTTATGGTGGCGATACCTTTTTTGTTATGTACGCTGCTGCTCCATAGGCACTTGGGCTTGCGTCCTAGAAAATATGAATAAGGCTGTCCTTGCACTGTCCTCTTTTTGAATACAAATCTGGGGAGGACAAGTGCATCGATCTTTGGCAGGTCACGACCCTATTTTTGCTTTCGTACTTCAGGTCTCCAGGTAGAGCACTGTCCCAAGTAATCCCTCTTCCACATAGCTTCTGACAAAGTGTCTTCACTTAGATTGTGAAGGGTGACAAGACTCCCAGGGGATAGAAAATCCTAGATGCGGCTTGCAAAACAAATCGTTTAGTTCTTTCGTTAAACTCTACGAATTTTATTAGAGTTGGCAACAAAAACGTCGTCATCCTTGCCTGGATAACGTCAATTCCCAAAACCTTTATTGTGTTTTATTCAAATATAGGCGTGGCGTTTCCTGGAATTGTCTGTTCTCAAGCTGGAACATCTCTAAGTGCCTGTGAATTCGTTGTCCACTTTCGAAGAGTCATTACTGCGTCCTGCACAATGGCGTCACTATGTAACTTGATGCCTTCTTCCGTGGTACATGTGCCAGTAACCATGTTGTCCACATTGAAGGAGTGACGGAGTACGTCAGCCACTTCCTTTTTCTATGTGGGCAGATTTTTTGGGTGTTCTAAGATCGTAGCCGTCAGAAAAAAATGAACTACAGGTAGCACCAAAAAGAACCCTTTTCATTCTTCAGGTCTATACCTCTTCGTCCTTAAAAAGTTGAAGGGCGGTAGCTCTTGAAAACAGAGAAAACGGAATGATCTTCTGAGTTGTTTTGTTACATATATATTAAGAAATTCTTTTTGGATGTCTGATGTTCTGGCGAAGCGGCTTATTTTAAATTTCAGCGATATTTCAAAAATGTCTCGATAAAGGTTGTCTCGTCTTTTCAAACATTCTTTCAGACTTGCACCCAGCTGTAAGTGAGGGTGCACTGAAAACAATTTTAAGTCGTGTCTTGAGCTCATTTCCCTGATGACTTCAAGATGTGGTACGTAAAATATTCTGCCTTCGTCACCGGCCGTCATGTTCGGTACACTTCTGACTGGCCCGCTATAAGGTACTCTCTCCGAGTTTCGTCGTAATGAAGGATTATGGAGTCATTCCCGAAGAGTCGACTTCCCTATTTCCGAAGTCTCGTCGTCGCTGCTTGCTTGTTATCCTTAAGAATACCAGTACTGTCCTTCAACGGTACCACCACCCCATACTGTGTGCTATAAATGCGAATGTTCTGCTCAAACTGGCGCATAACAATTGGCTTGTTGCGGACTTTTGGTGTCCTTAATATAATTCACAGGCTCTCTGACTCCCAGAATGATCGAAGAGCGTCTTCAACTTGTTCTGTGCCGGTGATCTGCAGGACACAGACGACTAAGCTCGATTGGTTTATTTGCATCTTCAGCATAGGTGTCCGTCCTTGGAAAGTCCAACACAGCTTGGTATTTCATGCAACAAGTGTGCTGCAGGTCTTACTCCGAGAGACTTCACCAGTCATAAAGCCCAACATTTGGTCAAATCGAATAAAAATACTGATGCCTGGTTGTGCGGAAACTACTCGAAAAATTATGCGATGGAAAATTAACCTTCCCTGTTACTCCATGCCAGCTACGAAAACTGAACCCCTCGTTAAAGTAGATATGTCTTGACATATGACCGAGATTTTGGTCGCTTCTATCTTGTATACGTCCATGTTGAGTTGGCTTCTAAATTTAAGCTCTATTACATGACGCTTCTTGCACTCTTGAGTCGAAGCAGAAGCAAACCTATTGAGTGACATTTTGGTGTAGCCAACGCACTTAAGCTGAAGGCGTCTTGACAGATCCCTGGTGACAAACATCTGCTGGTTACCACTGTCGATCACACCTCCAATGAACCTACAGGAGGTATCGCTGACAGCCCATGCCCGGAAGGTTTGCAAACGTATTACTCCGAACCCTCTGATGTCTTTGCG